TAAACTTTCTTACCAGTGCCGTCGGTGAAACACAAGTTATATGCCGAGGCTGATGTATTGTCTTACGGAACTCTTAGGTAATAATAATGACATACATCACGACCACCGCCCTGAGGTCACAACCTCTCCGTAGGGTGCAGTCGCACCTTCACAGTTCCCCAGTATAAGCTAATGATACTGGTAATGGCTCCAAAGGGCCACCACTTACGGGCTATTCATGCCCGTGCCACCTTTTGGGTGGCTTAATCTTCATCAATCAATCAATCAATCGACCACCGCCACCACTGTCATTGATGAACCCCGCAGCGGCCGGTGTCCCCGGAGGCAAAAACAACCCAATTATCGATATTTAGTCAAGACTCGCTTCCTCTGTAAGCCCAGTCGTTCCAAGACTTTCCTTCTAATATAATTCATAACTTGGATGAGAAATATTATAAACATAATGATGACAGAGCTTGCAAAGACAGGAGACCAGCTGAGCTTAACACCGTCGTCTGCAGGATTGTTTTTGTTGTTGTTATAGGGTTAGGGGCGGCTACAGCACGACTGCAGTGTTTGTTATGTCTACGCTTGGGAGTAGGCCTAGTCGATCTTGGCGCGCGGATTGAACGCTCCTGGCTGGGCTTTCTTTCCCCACCTCATCCAGATCTCATTTTTATTTATTTATTTATTTATTTATATATATATATATATATATATATGACAATGTCAGACCACGAAGGAAAATGAAACAGGAAATTTCCTTAAGTACTTTCGTATATTAAATACATCTTCAGAAGGTCTGAAGATGTATTTACAGAAGGTCACCTTCTGAAGATGTATTTAATATACGAAAGTACTTAAGGAAATTTCCTGTTTCATTTTCCTTCGTGGTCTGACATTGTCACATTCTTAATCACGTGTTTATTTTCGTGATATACACACATATATATATATATATATATATATATATATATATATATATATATATATATATATATATATATATATATATATGCGAACAAGCCTGAATGGTCCCCAGGACAATATGCAACTGAAAACTCACACCCCAGAAGTGACTCGAACCCATACTCCCAGAAGCAACGCAACTGGTATGTACAAGACGCCTTAATCCACTTGACCATCACGACCGGACAAAATGAGGTGATAGCCGAGGCTATTTGAACCACCCCACCGCCGGCACTCTGATAGTAATCTTGGGCATAGCATTTTACCAAATCACCTCATTCTTTGGGGCACACGTGAGGAACACAAATGCGAACAAGCCTGAATGGTCCCCAGGACAATATGCAACTGAAAACTCACACCCCAGAAGTGACTCGAACCCATACTCCCAGAAGCAACGCAACTGGTATGTACAAGACGCCTTAATCCACTTGACCATCACGACCGGACAAAATGAGGTGATAGCCGAGGCTATTTGAACCACCCCACCGCCGGCACTCTGATAGTAATCTTGGGCATAGCATTTTACCAAATCACCTCATTCTTTGGGGCACACGTGAGGAACACAAATGCGAACAAGCCTGAATGGTCCCCAGGACAATATGCAACTGAAAACTCACACCCTAGAAGTGACTCGAACCCATACTCCCAGAAGCAACGCAACTGGTATGTACAAGACGCCTTAATCCACTTGACCATCACGACCGGACAAAATGAGGTGATAGCCGAGGCTATTTGAACCACCCCACCGCCGGTGAGTATGGGTTCGAGTCACTTCTGGGGTGTGAGTTTTCAGTTGCATATTGTCCTGGGGACCATTCAGGCTTGTTCGCATTTGTGTTCCTCACGTGTGCCCCAAAGAATGAGGTGTTTTGGTAAAATGCTATGCCCAAGATTACTATCAGAGTGCCGGCGGTGGGGTGGTTCAAATAGCCTCGGCTATCACCTCATTTTGTCCGGTCGTGATGGTCAAGTGGATTAAGGCGTCTTGTACATACCAGTTGCGTTGCTTCTGGGAGTATGGGTTCGAGTCACTTCTGGGGTGTGAGTTTTCAGTTGCATATTGTCCTGGGGACCATTCAGGCTTGTTCGCATTTGTGTTCCTCACGTGTGCCCCAAAGAATGAGGTGATTTGGTAAAATGCTATGCCCAAGATTACTATCAGAGTGCCGGCGGTGGGGTGGTTCAAATAGCCTCGGCTATCACCTCATTTTGTCCGGTCGTGATGGTCAAGTGGATTAAGGCGTCTTGTACATACCAGTTGCGTTGCTTCTGGGAGTATGGGTTCGAGTCACTTCTGGGGTGTGAGTTTTCAGTTGCATATTGTCCTGGGGACCATTCAGGCTTGTTCGCATTTGTGTTCCTCACGTGTGCCCCAAAGAATGAGGTGATTTGGTAAAATGCTATGCCCAAGATTACTATCAGAGTGCCGGCGGTGGGGTGGTTCAAATAGCCTCGGCTATCACCTCATTTTGTCCGGTCGTGATGGTCAAGTGGATTAAGGCGTCTTGTACATACCAGTTGCGTTGCTTCTGGGAGTATGGGTTCGAGTCACTTCTGGGGTGTGAGTTTTCAGTTATATATATATATATATACACACTAAAGTGCATTGGGGGTTAACAGACAACATAGATTTATTTGATTTGAGGATTTATTGCCAAACAATTTTTTTTTTTTTTTTTTTGAGATATATACAAGAGTTGTTACATTCTTGTACAGCCACTAGTACGCGTAGCGTTTCGGGCAAGTCCTTAATCCTATGGTCCCTGGAATACGATCCCCTGCCGCGAAGAATCGTTTTTTCATCCAAGTACACATTTTACTGTTGCGTTAAACAGAGGCTACAGTTAAGGAATTGCGCCCAGTAAATCCTCCCCGGCCAGGATACGAACCCATGACAGCGCTCGCGGAACGCCAGGCGAGTGTCTTACCACTACACCACGGAGACTGCAAATAGAAAGTTTTGTCAATGTTGAGGGTGAGTTTGTTGGCAGTTAGCCAGAGATGGACTTTATTTAGCTCAGTATTCACTGTGACATTTAGAGCAAGGGGGTCAGGACTGGAGTAAATGAAGATCGTGTCGTCACCAGGTAGGAAACTATGCGTGGATGAAATTAGATACTTTTTGGTTTTACGTTTGAATAAGGCATAGATTGGAGAGCTGTTTAATTCGTTAGATTTATTTACATGCTGCTATGACGGTATGTTTACTCACAGGATGATAATGAGAAAATCTGTAGGAGCTGCGATGAGGATTCGAACCTATACTCTGGGTATTCCAGCCCGTCCTCCAAACAAAGGTCCAAAAGTGATTCCATGCACACGCCAAACCCCCTGTTTATGAATGAAAAGCGGTTTACACACGACTCACAACTGCTGACGTTCGAACATATCCGGAACAAGTGCTTCACTGACGAATTTTGTTCGAATTACAACGCTATAAATGCTTCACCCACGTACTACAAATACAAATAATCGCCAACAGAACCTAAACACCTAACCTAACCTATCCTATGCCTATATATACACAATATGCTAATATATTATAATATTAATTTATACTTGAGAAAATTCCCGTTTTGAATGAACAGTATGTTAAAATTTATGAATGCGTCTGTGGGGTTGACCGCTGAATGTAATGGACTTGAGTTGAGGACGGGTTGGGTATTCCCAAGCACACATCTTGGACAACTAGGCCACGACAAGCCCTTGTACCAATTTTCTCATTGGTTCATCACGTTAGTGTGATTTCTCTGGATATTGATAATGTTTACTCACAAAATGATAATGTTGAATGGTGCTGCCCAATAAACTAGCCGTCGGAGCATAATATAAAAATTAAATCTGCCTTGTCATGTCCCTGCAGTGTTGTTAGCCCTGAGGTCTTCAACCATTCCTGGTATGAGAGTTGACTTTGTTTTGGAGTGATTTTTGTCGCCCGGTGTTGAACTTCCAACGCAGGTATATTTATTTCATTTTGAAGGCGAGGTCTCTATGTTTAGATAGGGGTGCACCAGAGATTTATAGTTGTTTTTAGGATTTTTTTTTTACTTTACTGCAGCTCCCAGTTACAAAAAGTACTATCTAAACAAGTCGCCCTTGATTGTAAATATGCAGATATTACCCCTCTGGACCAAGGGAAAGTCCCCCTAGATGGGAAATATGTAAATGTCACCCCTCTGGACCAAGGGAACGTTCCCCTAGATGAGAAATATGTAAATGTCACCCCTCTGGACCAAGGGAACGTTCCCCTAGATGAGAAATATGTAAATGTCACCCCTCTGGACCAAGGGAACGTTCCCCTAGATGAGAAATATGTAAATGTCACCCCTCTGGACCCCTCGGGTTGTCATATGATAGTTGTGATGTGCCTGGTTAAAGCTATATGCAAGTTCTTGCATTTTTTATTATTACAAATCATTTGCCAGCATTCTGACCATTTATGTTCATCTTGATTTCTTTGCAAGGCTCCAATATCGTTTTCGCGTCCCACTTTACCATAGATCTTAGTGTTATCTACAAATTTGATGATGAAGTTTGCAATATTTTCATCCATGTCAAATGTGTGACAAAAAGGGTTGGCCTTGAGATGGAACCTTGCGGTATTCCACTCGTCACATTTCTCCAGATTCATTTCCATTTAAGACGACGTTTTGTTTTCTTCGTTTTAACCATTGTTTTATCTATTCTAGTATTTTATCAATTATTCCATGTGCTTGTAATATCCATGCGTCTTTCATATGGTACCTTATCAAAAGCATTAGCGAAGTCCATGATACCATTTCCAAGAATGTGAGCAAGTTAGTAAGGCAAGGTTAATTTTGAACAAAACTACGTTGTGTCGATTCTACTAGATTGTGCACTGCGAGATGGTGAATAATTCTTTACCATAGGATTTTGTATATGGGCTTGCAGATATGAGGTCGGACTGGTTGATCGGTAGTTTTCTGCCAGACACTTTCTGCCTTTTTTTTTTAAGATTGGGTGACATTTGAATATTTACAATCTAGGGGGACTTTTCCTTGGTCCAGAGAGGGTGACACTTGCATATGTACAATCTAGAGGGACTTTCTCTTGTCCAGAGAGGGTGACATTAACATATTTACAATACTGTAATTCATTATGGCAGGGGCTTTTGAGCCCTCCCCCCCTCAAGGCCGAATTACACACAGCGCCCAGGATGCAGCCCAACAACAAACTGATCAACTCCTGAGTATCTACTCACTGCTAGGTGAACAGAGGCATTTGCATTAGTCCAGAGATATTCTGATAGGAGTTTCAGTGGTAGACAGTTTATCGGCGGTTCCTCTATGATTTTGGATTAAATTTATGTGCCGCTGTCAATAGTGACTGTTTATATTGGAAGTAATCTTATATACATGAGTGAAGGACTGCGTCTTCTCCTCTACCGTGATCACCTGCCGTCTCCTTAGCTTTAGCTTTGAACTTTTGCATTGATCTGTGTTTCTCAGCTACATTTAGTGTGTCTCTCAGTTCGTTGCCGGTTTTCTTGCTGTTCTACTGTGAAAGCTGGCGATGTGCAAACGTTGTTAATTACAATTTAGAATTGCCTATTTACTCACTACATTTACCGGTAATTATTTTAAACAACGAGGCATTACATTGATAAGTAAAACTAGTTCTATCAGTCGTCGGGATTAGAAAACCTCACACAAGCTGTATGTACCATAAAGAAAACTAATTGATCTGTCTAATGTATGTCAATGTATTTATATGACCTAAAACATACATTATTTTCGCCTTCCTTGTTTACAAACTGGTGAGAATACAAAACAGTGTATAAGTTTGAGATAAATAGTCACAAAAATCACATTGGAACAATGTGTTATACAATACATAAAACAAAAATTACCATTTTGTCTAATAAACTATAGAAAATGCATTTACATGTGAATCAGAATGACATACACAATTATAATGTAAGATAAATACGAAACGTTTGTGAAGATTGATAGAACATCAGACAGGCAAAATTGTGAAGGAATTAGCGGTAAATACGTCATATTATAATGAAATATAATAATTCATAAACACTCATAGCTTCATAAACTAAAACAAATTTTGAAGTGGTGATAAATAGTTCTCCGTTGCTTGCTACTAGTAACAGTGATGGGGGAATCATTCATGTATATTTTCTCTTAATTAAACACTCTCTTAACCCCCAATGTACCTTCTTGTATATAAATAAATAAATAAATAAATAAATAAATAAATAAATAAACAAACATAACCGCTGTACACAGGTCTCCAGCTGCATGACAGATTTCGAATTTGAATTTGAGATGTCTGCCGTGAATGGTGATGAAGTGAGGGGCGTAAATGATGAGAGCATCGGGTGCCAACCCGCTCTCCAACAAGACAGCACATATATGACTTATTGTTTATAGTCAATATCTTGCTTATGAATTAGTACCTATGTGGTATATTCCCAGTTATATTTTTTTCAAGGCCGGGTGCAGAGTCAGATGAGCGACTACACGGTGACGGTATCCCTGGTGAGGAAGGCAAGAATGGCTGCAGCAGTCTTAGGGTCGAGGTCCGCGCCCCGCTGGATCTCCTGTGCCGAGGCCTTCACCACACCGCCCAGCGACCCGAACCTCTCCACCAGCCTCGACATCTCTGAGGGCCAGACAGTGACACGTATTCACTATAGTGAAATATTCTCTGAACTAACACCATTCTCATATTATACGATAAGAAACTTACAGTTGGCTACATCAACACTATTCTCATATTATACAATAAGGAACCTACAGTATAATAATAATAATAATAATTTTATTTAGGTAAGGTACATACATAAAGAGATTTTACAAAGTTTGTTGGCTTTATAGATAGAGCTAGTACATACAATGCCTAAAGCCACTATTACGCAAAGCGTTTCGGGCAGTACATCACATCAACTGGTGATACAGCTACATCAACACTATTCTCATATTATACAATAAGGAACCTACAGTTTTCTTCAAAAACACTATTCTTATATCATGTAACCCCGCTTTTTATCGAACAATTGTGTGTACAAAGAAGTTAAAAACGAAAGTATGCTTTATTTTTGCTAAAACGGGGAGTTTATTGGGCAACGTCTCTCATCCTATGTATTATATTAATCACCACACGACCACTATTAATCCACCCAGAGACACTTCAACATGTTACACCACCAAGACCACATTTACTCCAAACATCTACCACCTACGGGCCACTCATACCTGTGTCACCTCTTCCTGTTGAAGATTAAGTCACCACAACATTACTAATCACTTTTACAACAACCAAGACCACTTGCTTTTGGGAAAATCCTTCTTGAGAAATGAGGTTACTTGAACCAGCGTTCTGGTGATTTCCAGACACCTGCCGTAACTCACTCAGCCACGATAGGACTGAGTATAGGCCTATCAACTCGGAACTATACTAAATTCACTGGGTGGTTATGGAGGCCCGAGGCAGTACCCAACCAGGATTTTACAATAGGCCTGCTTACACCCTGGCCTGCAGGTAATGTGTTTACACCCTCCTTCAGATCACTAAGTAATCACAATGGCGTGATATACCAGCGAGAAAATAATTTTGGGGGCAATGAAATGACTCATTCACCAACCGGCGTTCGTAAAATCCTGGTTAGATACTGATTTGGGCCTCCAAAACTACCCATGAAGTGAACTCAGTAGAGTTCCGGGCTGATAGACTTTTGTCTTATCGTGGCTGAGTGGGGGGGTGGGGTTAAGGCAGGTGTCTGGAAATCACCAGAACGCCGGTTCAAGTCATCTCATTGCCCCAATATGAGATGACATGAACAGTAGTTGGTAAAATCATGGTTGGGTTTTTATCTTCCCATTGTCTTTTACCACCTCAATCAGTTACTACCGTTATTACAACTGTTAACAACTTACTACAGCTATTAGCACCTGCAGCTACCACCAGTTACTACAACTATTAACACCTGCATCAGTTACAACAAATAATAACTCCTCCAGCTGTAGTATAGCTGTAGTAACTGCACCTCAAGGTAAGGTAACTGGTGGTAGCTGCAGGTGTACCTAAGAGTTGTCTCGCATGAGCCAATATAGACTTTCTGAACCATAATGACTGTTCACTGAACAATACGGGAAGAAATAATGAATAGAGAAGAGCGTGGGTGTACTGACGGTGGAAGTTGAGACCGATGACTTGGCCCATGACGTGGGTGTGTTCCCTGGTGATGGCCGCCTCCACCATCCTGCCCATCCTCGCCTCCACCACCTGCCGCCGCTCCTCCAGCGTCGCCTGCAACACCCGCCCCATCATACTATTAACAAGCTTAGCTACCTACACCAGTATGCTGCTACCCTATTCTATATCAGGGATTACAGAGTATAGATCAAGCGCTGGCTATGAGCTCACCACTTAATCTAAAGTCACTGATAACTGATCAGATCTTGGCTTTTCTTCTCAATCTGTGTTGATAACGGACTCTGCTGCTCTCTTGGGACCTGCCTTAAACTATCTCAAGCAATCGATTCCTTTTGAAATTAAGAGTGTAGGGTGTTTGATGACCCATATAATCATTATGGTGTACATAAAGAAGGAGGAGGAGGTTGGGGAACATTACCTTGGCTAAGACCTGGATGTGGGCTGCTGCCTGGGCGTGGCCGTGGGCGGGCAGGATGAGGGGCGGGCGGGGCAGGAGTCTCAGCTGCAGCTGGCCTAAAACACCACCCACTTCCTCCTCCCCGAACACCGCCCCCACGACCACCACCACCGTCACGCGGTGACCCCGCATGAACGACCTCACTCTGCCACAATACAAGCCACATACATCAACACAAGCCAGGTCACGTGTCGTCAGCAACACAACATCCAGCCTTCAACACTAAGCATCTAGTCTAACTCGTAGAAACAACATTCAAACCTTCCCACATTCTTACAAGAATGTAAGAACTCTTGTATAAATAATTAAATAAATGAATGAATAAATAAATAAATACATAAATCAATAAATAAATAAAAACCAATAAAGCAGCATTGGCGGGCTAGTACTGGGACGCGTCTCCAACCATTACCACACGTGCAGTCATCACAAGATGATAATCTGCTCACAAACTGCAGGTACAATGAAGAAGGTTGTGTCTAGTAAATCAACAAATGAAAGGTTAAGTGTTACATGGATCAACTACTAAAGTCAAGTGTAACATGAATCAACAACCCCCAAGGTCAAGTGTCACAGGGATCGACCATTCGAGGTCAACTTTAGTGTCACCTGCATCAACATTCCGAAAATGTCATTTATAAATACTGTATACATTTTTGCTGTTATGAACTGGTCTGACGTTTGAGACAATTTCCCAATCCAATCTATACATAAAAATGTGTCTATCAGAGGGTGACAGCCAGACGCTCGGGGCTAGTTCAAATTTAAATTCAAATGTTTATTCAGGTAAAGTACATACATACAAGGGGTGATACAAATATTGCTGAATTTATAGATAGAGCTAGAACATACAAAGCCTAAAGCCACTATTACGCAAAGCGTTTCGGGCAGGAAAAACACTAAAGACTAAAACTTAATACTAATTGAGATTAAAGTATAAAATGTGTTGAGACAATATAAAAATAAAAACGGGGGAACATGGCAGAAAAACAGCAAAAATACAATTTGGTCGACAAACAGCATCGTTTAAAAATAACAGACATGGGTTGACATTATAGGGGTAAGGTAGGTTACAGGGAGTTAATTAGGTAGTGTTTAGTTTTTATCTTAAACTGGTTGAGAGAGGTACAGTCTTTAACATGGTTGGGAAGGTCATTCCACATTCTGGGTCCCTTGATTTGTAGAGCATTTCTAGTTTGATTAAGTCGTACTCTTGGAATATCAAAAAGGTATTTGTTTCTGGTGTGGTGTTCATGGGTTCTGTTACAACCTTCAATGAAGCTTTTAAGGTCAGGATTGGCATTACAGTTCAGCGTTTTATATATATATAATACACATGAGAGGATGTGCAGTGACTTAATATCTAACATATTCAGAGATTTGAGTAGGGTACCGAGTGATGTCTAGGGCCAGAGTTGGATATTGTCCCAATAGCAGCTTTGTGTTGAGTAATTAGAGGACGTAAATGATTTTGGGTAGTAGAACCCCAAGCACAAATACCATAGTTGAGATATGGATAGATGAGGGAGTAATAGAGCGTCACCAGGGCAGGGCGTGGTACATAATATCTGATCTTAGAAAGAATACCAGCAGTTTTTGAATCTTTTTTTGATATATTTTGAATGTGTCCCTGGAAATTCAGCTTGTGGTCAATGAGAACGCCAAGGAATTTGCCATCTAATTTGTTACAAATTTGAGTATTGTTTGTTTTGAGATTTATTTGATTAGAGGATTTATTGCCAAACAAAATATAGAAAATTTTGTCAATGTTGAGGGTAAGTTTGTTGGCAGTTAGCCACAGATGGACTTTATTTAGCTCAGTATTTACTGTGACATTTAGAGCAAGGGGGTCAGGACTGGAGTAAATGAAGGTTGTGTCGTCAGCAAATAGAATTGGTTTGAGGTGTTGAGAGGCATTTGGAAGGTCATTAATGTAGATGAGAAACAGGAGAGGGCCAAGTATGCTGCCCTGAGGAACACCAAAGTTGATGGTTAGGGTGGGAGAAATTGAATTATTCACAGAAACATATTGGAGCCTGTCAGTAAGGTAAGATTTGAGGTATTGCAGGGAGTGTCCTCTGACTCCATAATGATGTAATTTAAGAAGAAGGTTTTCGTGGTTGACAGTGTCAAAAGCCTTACGCAGGTCCACAAATAACCCAACAGGGAACTCATTTTTATCAAGAGCTGCATGCATTCTAAAAACTTAATGTTAAGAAATATTAAAATATTAAAAATATTAAAATAAATATTAAAAACTTAATATTCTAAGTTAATCATACTAATAAGTGCATCGTTAGTGCTTTTTTTGGGTCTGAAGCCATATTGACAAGAGCTAAGTATATTGTGTTTGGCTAGATAAGAGTAAAGCTGCTTGTAGATTAGTTTTTCAAATATTTTTGACAAGTTTGGCAGGATTGATATAGGTCTGTAGTTGTTAACATCTGTGAGATCACCACATTTGTGGACAGGGGTTACTCTCGCTTTTTTTAGAATATCTGGAAAGGTTTGGAGTTCAAGTGACTTGTTGAAGAGCAATGCAATAGCAGGGGCTAAAGATCTTAAGGCTTTTTTGTAAATTAAAGTTGGTATCTCCTCAAGGGCACTGACTTGGTTTTAAGGGAAAGGATTATCTCATTAACATCAGTGGAATTTGCAGGCGTTAGGTACAGAGACTGTGAATAGTTACTTGTAAGATAGTCCTGAACATCAGTAATGGAAGATGGAATATCATTTGCAAGGGATGACCCAATGGAAGAGAAGAACCTATTGAACTCAGTAGCAGTATCAGAAGCAGTAAGCTGACCATCGTTATTGGACAGGAGTATTGGTTTGTTATTTAAAATCTTCTTTGATCCCAATATTTGTGAAATTGTGCTCCATGTTTTCTTAATGTTGCCCTTTGTTTGGGTAAATTTATCTTCATAGTATTTAGTTTTGGCTCTCCTAATTATTTTAGATAGCAATGACGAGTAATTCTTTGAAAATTCTTTGGAGACGATTCCTAACCTATACTTCTTCTCAAGGTCATGTTTTTTATTAATGGATATAAGTATTCCCTTTGTAAGCCAAGGATTGTTTAGCCTTTTGTTTGTGACTTGTTTCGTTAGCATAGGACAGTGGGTGTTATAAAGGCTGAGAGTTTTTTGAAGAAAAAATTGTGGTGTAGTATTGCAGTCTCCGTGGTGTAGTGGTAAGACACTCGCCTGGCGTTCCGCGAGCGCTATGTCATGGGTTCGTATCCTGGCCGGGGAGGATTTACTGGGCGCAATTCCTTAACTGTAGCCTCTGTTTAACGCAACAGTAAAATGTGTACTTGGATGAAACAACGATTCTTCGCGGCAGGGGATCGTATTCCAGGGACCGTAGGATTAAGGACTTGCCCGAAACGCTACGCGTACTAGTGGCTGTACAAGAATGTAACAACTCTTGTATATATCTCAAAAAAAAAAAAAAAAAAAAAAAAAAGGATTGCACTGCTTGGTTGATGTCCCCTATGTTACCTAATCCGGACTCCCAGTTGACATTATCAGCAGCAGCTATAAAATTGTCTATAGCAGTTTCATTGTGCAGCCTAAAGTTTATCTCCCTTGTCTACAGAGGTGGTTTGTTAATGTTAGAAGAAATGTGGGGTAATGGTCTGTAGTGCTATCGATGATTATCCCTGAAGTAAGCGGAGAGGTTATGTTGGTCCAGATGTGATCAAGAGTCGTGGCAGTACTATCAGTGATTCTAGGTCTAGTGATTAAGGGTATGAGGAAGCAGGAATTCATACAGTTGAGGAAGCTGGCAGCAGTAGGGTTTTCAGGCTCGCAGAGATCAATATTAAAGTCCCCTGCGATAATTAGACGGTTTCTGTTCAGTCTGTTATCTAGTATTAGAATTCTAAGGTTATAGTTGAATTCGGACACATCAGTGTTATGAATTCTATAGACTGCCTAGTCACCTAACTTTCCAAGATGACACGTTGGGGTGCCATATCTAGTCGAGGTTGGTCTCAGTGCTACCCACCTTTGAGAAATATTGCCATCTATAGCGACACCCCTTTTACCTACAATTTTCATGAAGTGAAGTACGAAAAAGAGGTTGTGTTTTCCACTGAGTAATTTGACAGTGCTTCATAATTTTTATGAATCGATGAATCTCTCTCTCACTGAACTACAGGCCAGTGTCCTTGTATACCATGCAAGGTGATGGAGAAGATTGTGAGAAAAAACTTTGTAACACATCTGGAGAGAAGGGACTTCGAGACAACCCATCAACATGGGTTCAGGGAGGGTAAATCTTGCCTTACAGGCTTGATAGAATTTTACGATCAGGTACCAAAGATTAAGCAAGAAACAGAAGGATGGGCGGATTGCATTTTTTTGGACTGTCGGAAAGCCTTTGACACAGTACCCCATAAAAGGCTGATGCATAAGCTGGAGAAACAGGCAGGAGTAACTGGTAGGGCGCTCCAGTGGATAAGGGAGTACCTAAGCAATAGGAAGCAGAGAGTTACAGTGAGGGATGAGACCTCAGATTGGCGTGAAGTCACCAGTGGAGTCCCACAGGGCTCTGTACTTGGACCTATCCTGTTTCTGATATACGTAAATGATCTCCCAGAGGGTATAGACTCATTCCTCTCAATGTTTGCTGACGACGCTAAACTTATGAGAAGGATTAAGACAGAGGAGGATAGCTTGAGGTTTCAAGAAGACCTGGACAAGCTGCAAGAATGGTCGAACAAATGATTGTTAGAGTTTAACCCAAGCAAATGTAATGTAATGAAGATAGGGGTAGGGAGCAGGAGACCAGATACAAGGTATCATTTGTTAGTTAGTTTAGTTCATTTATTATGCACCCCATACCAATTTTGTGGGCGGTAGTGGAAAGGGTTACAGAGGCACATAATGGGCTCAGAGACTGAACCCCAGAATTCATTTAGCTAAAACAGCAGAAGGTAAACAAAAATGGCCACCACCACAGGGGAGGACAGTACCCCAGCAAATGGATCTTTTGCAGGTTTCTCACAACAAGATGCAATGAAAGGTGGCTTTCTTGGAAGGTTAGTGATCATTGAGGATTTGCTAAAGAATTATGAAGAAAAGGTTATTAAATTGGAACAAGAAAATGAAGGTCTCAAGATTGAGTTTTGTAATTTAAAAAAAAAAGTATTTTCCAGCAAGGTAAGGAATTATCAAGCGTGACTGATAAGGTAAGGATGCAGGAGGCACACATCAAGGAACTGGAAAAGGATAATGGTGGCATGGAAAGTGAAGAGTAGGGAATTTGAACAATTAATGTGTCAAGTTTGGAGACTTGTACACATTTGAGTGCAAGAAGTATGGGAAATAGTTAAATAACAAAATATTAAGAAACTCAACAGGTATAAGTACACAATATGAAATGTAGATGTTTATCTCTCAGAATGTTTGGTAATATGTTTATTGTTTGTGATGTGTTTATATGTATGTATTAACACGATGCACTGAACAGGGTGAGAATAGCTTGAGCTACCTCATCCCTTTGTGTGTATTTTACCTCAATAAACTTATTTCAATTTCAAATACACAAAATATAAAGATATACATTAACTCCACCTTACTGAGATTCATGTCAACAATATGTCACACAAACGTCTTAGAATTTCATCAGTAGCTAAATGAGAGAAGACAATATTTACCTGTCAATCAGCTGGTCTAATGTCTCGGAGGCCGTGTCCACGTGTCCGGCCCCTGAGTCTCCCTGGAGGTCCCCAGAGGCAGTGTTGGGGAGGCGAGGCATCTGCACCACTAGGGCAGCCACGCCACACCGAGGCAGGATCACACTCCCCACACCTGTTTTGTCACTTACTGGGGGGAGGAAAATATACGCAGAATGTGGTTATTCAATATATAATCCTTTCAAAGGTAACGGTATAGCCCTACCTGACGCTGCAATTACTGTTATATTTGGAAATGATAAAAAAGGTAGCATGAGAACTTTAAAAGCTCTCATCTCCCTGAATAATTAAATAATCAGGAATCCACTAGGAAAATTAAATAAAAATTCCGAACGTTTAAGTGTTTCAACACACTATCAAGGATTTTGTATTTTATATTTCAAAGTCAAATTCAAAAATTCAAATGCTTATTCAGGTTATTTCCTTGATAATATATTGACACGCGAAAACATTCGGAATTTTTGTTCCATTTTCCTAGTTGATACTTACGCATTGAAGAGCATGTTGATTTATACTTTCAATTATTAGTCTGCCCAGTTTCAAAAACTTGACACAAAGAGGATGTGATGTAATAAAAACTTGTTGACAATGGGGAATTCAGTCAAAAGTTGCAGAGTTAAATTGACGTCTGAAAACTATGAAAAAAATCAATTTACACAGCACATGTGTTAACAATTATTCCTCTGCTCCCAAGGTGGACCAATGGGGGACTACAGTATCTCCCATGGTGGACTACATTAAAACCCATGCTGGACTACATTATTTCCCCATGGTGTACCCTGGGGACTACAGTATCTCCCATGGTATGCCACGGGTGGCGGAGGTCAACGGACCTCTGATCTTGAAGCCGCTTCCCAGATACTCGGTGAAGGAGGCCTGCTGGAGACTGCTGTGAAGCACCAGGGGCGTGGCCGCACCCACGCCACGCCCACCGTCACCCGTCGTCACACCACGCCCACCATCACCCGTCGTCACGCCCACCGCCTCTGCCATCACGCACGCACCCGCCACCAACTTCCGAAATAACTTTGAAAAACCCGCCACTTGCGTGCCTTGACTCCTTAGCAGACGACTCTATAAACGAAATCAGTCTTGCATAAGAAGGATCAGGAGAAGATTGAAAGAAGATCAGGATGGTGGGTATAAACTTGGATGGTTTATATAGAGGGTTGAGTGGTTAATGTGTTGGTACTCTGGGCGAGCGCCACCTATGTGCCGGAGGGCGGAGGGGAGAGTGGTGGAGTAATTGTGGCGTCTGCGGAAGGACTCGAGGGAGTCACACTGCGCGGTGTTCCCGCCGTATTTAGCATGACCATGATCTCAAGAGGCACTCTGGGCATCTGCGCAGGGGTGGCCGGCGCGCTATTCCTCGGCTACTGCATATACTTTGACCAGAGGCGCCGCAGCGATCCCAATTTCAAGAAGAAACTCCGCGAGCGACGTGAGTAAAGGCAGGGCGGCACGACGTGGCTCCCGAGTCACTAACACCAGCCATTATTATTATTCTTTCTGTCTGTGACATAAAGCTTGTCTCGACGTCTCTCTAAGATGAAAGTGACCTTCCTCAGAATGTAATCCCACAATAGCTACTAAACTCCCGGGTACCCATATACTGCCAGGTGAAGAGCGGCATCAGGTGAAAGGAAACGTGCTCATCCCTGATAGTTCCGCTCTTAGAGCAGTTATAACTACCCAACTCATACTAATGTATATTATATAGTGTGGGTGAACGAAATTTACAAATGTATATTAAAAATGGATACACCTTGTAATTAGTGGACTTGTGCAGACTAAGCACGGTGGCGCAGTGGCAAAACACTCGCCCGGTGCTTCGCGAGCACTTTGGCCTGGGTTCGTATCCTGGCCAGGGAGGATTAACTGGGCGTCAATCCTTAACTGTAACCTCTGTTCACCCCAGAGTGAATGGGTGCCTGGTTAAGGGTAGTATTTTAGGGAAAATTAGGATTAAGGACCTGCCCAAAATGCTATGCTGCTAGTGGCTGTACAAGACTGCAACAACTTGTATTTTTTTTATATATACAGTATATAGAAATCTCCAATAATGTAAAGTGTATTATGTACATTGTATATTTGTTTACAAATTATTATTTTACAATTATGAGTTTTATATGTAAAGTCTGAGACTGCTGGCACTCGTGCACGCTTGAAGGTAACTCTTGCCAGCAAGCCGTTTGAACAGGGTTACCTCTACAGTATTTTGTGCACAGCTTGTTTTCTAATTTGATCAATCTGTGTTAGGTAAGATCTAAAATGTGCTGGTGAACTGTGCAAAATGACCTGCATTGCTTTTAGGGGCTAAAAATTGGGGAATGGCCGTATCATAGCCATACAGGGGCCTGACAGTTGAGTGGACAGTGCTTTGGATTCGTAGTCCTGAGGTTCTGGGTTCGATCCCCATTAGAGGCAGACAAATGGGCAGTTTCTTTCACCCAGATGCCTCTGTTCACCTAACAGTAAATAGATACAGTACCTGGGACTGCTTCCTGGGGGGGGGTGACGAAAAAGGAGGCCTGGTCGAGGACCGGGACGCTAAGCTTCTAAATCATCTTGAGGTATAACCTCAAGATACACAAATAATAAACACGATTCAAGATCAGAATGGAAAGGTAGATGGGTGTCTAATTAGGGTCAACATGAGGTCAACTAACCTAATATGAATGTGCACATTCCTATTACGTTAGGTTACCAATGATACTCAAGAACTGTAAATCGGTGGCTTGAAAAAAATAGGTTTGGTAACTCTAGAAATGTGTTCAAGCCGCATACCTTGAATAAAGTGAAAAAAGATAAATTGAGATGGAAATCTTTATCAAAGGCCTAAAACTTTTCAACACTCCCACTAAATGTAAGGGGCATAACTGACTGACCTCTTACTGTGTACAAATGAGTACTTGGTAAACCACTCCTAGAGGATACCTGATCAACCAGGCTGTGAGTCACATGTCAGGAGTCTAGTTGACCTAACCACCAACCGAGAGGCATGGTCATAAATCGTGCCACAGGGATGTTGATCCTCGGGACCAATGCAGGGGAGTCCATTGACATTTGAATTGAAGTTCAAATCCTGGGCAAGATGGAAACATTTGGACATTTTTCCTTATACCTGATTCTTCTGTTCACCTTGCAGTAAATAGGTACCTTGGAGTTTGTTAACTGTTAGTTAACTTAATCCTGGTGAAAGTTTGTCCGTTGGCTAGGGAGGCCTCGTTAGGCTCGACAGGCCTCCTGCTCCAGATAATTGGAAACAACATACAACAAATAGTTTGCATATGTATTTTCATTACTAATATGTAAAGCATGTGTATGAATGTAAAAAATGGTTACACACTACATAGGCAGATTTTAAAATCTAAGTTTATGAAATGGCCACTGAAAGATACTGCACCTGTATACAAAGTAACTGTAGAAAACTAGGTTAGGAAAGGTTTTATAATACGTATGGTAAGTCTGTACAAATATCTTATGATCAGACCACACGTCAGTAAGTGAAGAAACTACATTTTGGCCCGTCTTGGACCATTATTCATTCTGGGCCATTATCAAGCCTTTACACAGCTTGATAATGGTCCAGGATGGACCAAAATGTCATCGTTTCTTTCTAATGTGTGGTTTCATTTCTTCAGCCATATTATTGTGATTTATTGTCTGCAAATATCTAGTGTAACTTATGAATTCTCTAAATTTCCATGTTTGATACATGAACAAATGCACACAAAAACTGCTGCTTTTTTACCCTTCACAAAAATTTCAGTACCACATGACTTGATTCCCACCACAGATAAGTGATGGTCAGGGAAGGTAGATGCATTTGTATACAGTATCCCTCGATTGTTTCAAGCGCGGGTTGGACATGTATATGAGTGGGATTGGGTGGTTATAGATAGGAGCTGCCTCGTATGGGCCAATAGGCCTTCTGCAGTTACCTTTGTTCTTATGTTCTTATTCTCATAGTGTATAGTACTTAAGCGTCATTCTCAACTGAATCAGAAATCCCAGATCAGATTCCCAAGTTAAAAAAAATCCTGAGCACATTTCCTTTCACCTAATGTCTGTTCACCTAGAAATAAAAAGGTATCTGGGAGTTACGCAACTGTTGTGAGGTTGCATCCTTGGGAAGTTCAATAGTTTGACCTTGGGATATCTCGATACAAGCCTGAAGTATATACTGTCTACACTCAATAATCTGATTATGCAGGCCCTCCCCTAATTGAGTTAGCCAAAATTTTACCTGTAAAGTCCAAAAAATTACAAAATTTGGATTTATTCAGGTTTTCATTTGACAAAGCTTGATAATCCAAATTTTTATTAGTTGGGCGGTCAAAAACTTGAACAAATTTATTTGCCTTACTGTACCAAAATATTTGGGTTACCAGAATTTGAATTACCGAGCTCGTACAGTAAATACGCAGGGTTCTTGTACCTGACAATGGGAATTATTATAATTCAGTTTGTATCATGAGATATGGCAGCATAGGAAACCAGGAATGCCTGCTCGGAACATATTCGTGTGATCAAATCGTATATTTATAATTTGGCCGTTGTCACAGGTCGCAGAGCCACAAAGGGTGGGAGCGGAGGAAGCAGCTCGGTTACCTGGCCCAATCTGAAGGACCAGGAGGCTGTTCAGAAGTTCTTCCTTGCTCAGGTCCAAGTAAGTTAACTTTTTTCGATTTCAGTTTTTTGTATTGTATATTCAGTACTGTATTTATTTATTTTGTTCTAACAAGTTGCATTGATGTCAGTGGTGGTGTCAATTATGTATGACTTTGAAAATACTGTATATGTGCAGATAAGATGTGTGTGTGTAAATATACTTGCCATGTATTTATTCATACTAATGTACATGTGTATATATACATTTATACGCCTAATTTTATAATTGCAGATAGTACATATTTTGCCTGTAAATATATATGTGGTATTCACTCATTTGCTGTTTTTAAAAGTTCAATGGCTCCTAGTCTGACCATCCTGCATGTTCAGTACACTTGCTGGTGATGTGCCAGGCATGATCCCCATCTTCCTTCCAAGGCCCATGAAGGAAAATGAAGAACTCTGGATTATTATTATTATTATTATTATTGTTATTATTATTATTATTATTATTATTATTATTATTATTATAATAATAATAATATCCCCCCCCCTCAATGGGGAATTATTAGAGGCAGTGGTCATAGAGTATATAATTCACAAAATTGTTGTGAATTATTAGGAAGCAGAAGTGGACTGCATGTTATCTTGAGTTAATTTCGGGGCTTTAGTGTCCCCGCGGCCCGGTCCTTGACCAGGCCTCCACCCCCAGGAAGCAGCCCGTGACAGCTGACTAACACCCAGGTACCTATTTACTGCTAGGTAACAGGGGCATTCAGGGTGAAAGAAACTTTGCCCATTTGTTTCTGCCTCGTGCGGGAATCGAACCCGCGCCACAGAATTACGAGTCCTGCGCGCTATCCACCAGGCTACGAGGCCCCCTCGTAGTATGTTTGGGAGTTTTACATTTTGATAGGCCTAGAACACCCCTGGTTGTGGTGTGCACCATCAATGAGAACTTTTTATTTATTTTATATTTATATATACAAGAGTTCTTACATTCTTGTACAGCCACTAGTAAGTATAGCATTTCGGGAAAGTTCTTAACACTTTTGCTCACCCCGCGCGCCACCCCTCGACAGGGCGATATGGGCCCCAGAGTGTCACGGAAGCGCGCGTTAATTCCGAAAAGTGTATACTCTCTTCAACTTTGTCACCTCAATTCTCCTTCTACGAGATTAAATTTGGTATCATTGTGTTCGCAATAAAATTCTCTACAGCACTAAATGCATATAAACTCCAAAAGCCCGGCTAATTACCCGCAGCAAACAGAGAAAGTGCGAACGAGTTACCCGGGAGCGCGCAAACGGGATAAAATGTTTTCACTATTTTCACTGTGGTCACCTCAATTTTTGTCCTAGGTCTTTCATTTTGGTCTCAATGGGTTCGTAATAAAATTCTCTAGAGGAACATTAGCATATAAAAAAAAAAACCTGGTCACGCTCCAACCGCCGACGAGTTGAAGACGGGCCACGTGTTAGCCGTGAGTGAGTGCTCAGAGGCCTTCCTGCTACACTCCCAATTCCTACCCTTTTCAAGCCTTTCTTTCGCAATTTTCTTCCTGGAAGGGCCTTGTTCATGATTACTATCCATCGTGGAGTAAGCGTAGATAGTTTCTAAAGCCGCAGTAAGAAATATAGCCACGGAAAATAGCCGAAATGTTCACACGTTTGAGATGCGAGGGGAAGCGACATTGGTCACAACAGTGGAGCAAAGACAATGGGCCCACGGCGTGTGCCAAGCAGCCTGAGGGCGACGAGGCTCAACAAAGAAAATGGGAAGACATCGGCGCACATTTTAAAACCAGTCCCCAAAAAATCGGATAAAAACCTGATTTTTGACGAATTTTTAAAGTGGATGACGCAATGCTGCGTCATCCCCGGCATTACCGCCAGTAAACGGATGACGCAATGCTGCGTCATCCCCGAGCGAAAGTGTTAATCTTGATATTCCCCAAAATACGACCTCGCTAAATTGTTTTAACAACTGACCAGGGGCCTGACAGCTGAGCAGACAGTGGTTGGGATTCGTAGTCATAAGGGCCCCAGGTTTTGATTCCCAGTGGAGGCGGAAACAAATGAGCAGTTTTTTTCACCCCTGATGCACCTGTTCACCTAGCAGTAAATAGGTACCTGGAAGTTAGACAGCTGCTATGGGCTGCTTCCTAGGGATGTGTAACAAAAAGGAGGCATAGTAGGAAAGCAACATGTAAAGGATTTGGGAATAATGATGTCTTACGACCTAATGTTTAAGGAGCATAACCCAGCAAATATTGTCAGCCAGAAAAATGATAGGATGGATTACGAGAACTTTCAAATCCAGGGATCCCATCACAATGGTTGCACTCTTCAAATCACTTGTTGTCCTGTCTTGAGTACTGCTCAGTATTCACTTCCCCTTTCAGAGCAGGAGAGATTGCTGCAATAGAGGGAGTACAGAGAATACACTATGTACGGCATTTTAACACTTTCGCGCTCTCGGCGCTCAAAAAAAATCAATACCCCAGATGCTTTCGGCACTTCGCGCGCCTACGCGGTAAGACCGAAAAAGTGTACACTCTTTTGACTGTCCTGACAATAATTGAAGGCGCACGTATTTAAATTTGGTATCACTGTGTTCGCAATGAAATTGTCTATAAGAGCATACCTATAAAATGCCGCCCAAGCATAAGGAGTATCAACACCAAAAAAAAAAAACTATGCAGATCACTCGCCGAGAGCGCCAAACAGCAACAAAATGTTTCCACTCTCTTAATGGTTGCGAAGCCTACAGTTGTCCTACATCGCTAATTTTGGTATCATTGGAATCGCAATAAAATTCTCTACACGGACATACGCATATGAATGTTTAATATAGGTAATTGCCCACCCGCAAGAGTGTGTGAAGTGGAGAGTAGTTAGCCGCGAGCGCACTGGCGAAAACACAGGGGGGAAATCATGCTTGGAAAGTTTATACATTTTTACGTTTCCTGACCCTACTTTTCTATGTACGTATTTCTTTTTTATACCAATGTGTTCGCAATAAAATTTTCTATAAGATGAAATGTATAACATTTGTACAAAGCATGTGTAAGAGAAGCGCCAAATATAGAACCACGTCGCTCAGTATGCGTTCGCGGCAGAAACGAACGCATTGTTTTCGTTCGTTTGATGTTTGTCATGTTTATACTTGTTGAAACATTTTATAATTTGTATGACAGTGATCGCAGTAAAATTCCCTACACAGACATATACATAACACATACAAATATTTCCCACGTGTTGGATATATCAACGGCTAAAGGGAACCCACTGCCACACGGCCGCCACACCCGCCACACCCCCAAACATACTTTGTGTTTTTTTTTTTTTTACTCATAGAAGTTTATGTGATATAATATTCATTCTGGTACCAAAAAATTCGCAAATCAATTCTCTACAAAACGTATATAATATAATATAACTTCTTATAGATGATAAAAAATTCCAAATAGGTGTACTTACCCTGTCTATGTTGATTGAAGATCAACAGTTGAGCATTTTTTCTTCACTCCACCATCTTCAGGCTTCTGATCCTGAAGTTGCTCATCTGATGTTTCTTAGGTGGAGTGAAGCTGTTGCCGGTGGTTATTTTTTCTCCACCCAAAATATCTTTCTTCGGTGGTACCTTGTGTAGCAAGGCGCAGCGCACAGTGCCACATCACAAGTTTTACATCCATATATCACGTCCCTCCTTTTGCCAGACTTGAAACAAACACGGCATCTTTTTTAAGCCAAGTGCACGAGTTCATGCGTCAACTTGTAGTTGAGACGCTGTTCTGAATCTATAATTCTTGTATTTCTTGGATGCACTGGAGGAATATTGTCTTCTACAGGAACCACCAAACTTGTAGTAGAATCTTCTATGAAATCAGAAACATCAAGTGGTTCTATGTCCTCAATGTCCATTTCAGAATTTGTGGTTGATGAGTGGGCTTGAGGTGTTGAGGTGAACAGAGGACGCCTCGCACCAGATGGCCCGGGTGTTGAAACTGCCGCGTCAGCAGGAGGAGCTGCGCTGGCATCTATGTCGGGAACATGTGGTATACCACGTGACCGGGTAGGCCGAGATGCCATGTGTTCGGTGAGGGAGAACGGGAATTTCATGGAGAAAAATCTGAGAGTATCCCCATCCATTTCGGTTAAAAAATGGAATTTATAGAAATATTTTTTCAATGGACGAGAAAAGTAGGCTGTTATGCGGAATCGTAAGAAAAAACGGCGACGAGTTATCTCTAATCTAAAGCGCGAAAGTGTTAAGACACAATAAAGTACCTAAATTATTGGGATTGTCTCAAAGCTCTCCAAATGTGCTCACTAGAAAGAAGACGAGAGAGATATCAAATAATATACATGTGAAAAATACTAAAAGGCCAGGTCCCAAATCTACACAGTAAAATATCAACATACTGGAGTGAATGATATGGAAGAAAATACAGAATAGAACCATTGAAGAGCAGGGGTGCCATAGGTGCACTCAGAGGACATTGTATAAACATCAGAGGTCCATGGTTGTTCAACATCCTCCCAGGGAGTACAATAAATATTGCCGGAACAACCATGGACATCTTCAAGAGAAAACTAGATAGTTTTCTTCAAAGAGTGCCGGACCAACCGGGCTGTGGTGGATATGTGGGCCTGCGGGCCGCTCCAAGCAACAGCCTGGTGGACCAAGCTCTCACAAGTCAAGGCCGGGCTTGAGAAGTAGAACAACTCCCAGAACCTCATCAAGCAGGTATCATGGTCGAGGACCGGGCCGTGAGGATGCTAAGCCTCCTAAGTCATCTCAAGATAACCAGGTACCTATTTTACTGTTGGGTAAACAGACTACAGTTAACCCTTAAACTGTGCAACACACCTGCAAGCCCTTGTCTGGTTTGCGCAACGCACCTCCAGGTATTTGTATTTTTCACGTAACATTCAAAACTCCAGCAGCTATATGAGGTTCACATCAGCTTCCTCAGGGCTCTTGTAAACAGACGCCATCTTTTAAAAAAATTGTGGGCCACATTCCGAGGTGTGAGAGCCTCGGTAGTGAGTGAGCAACCAAGGCTGGTACATGCAGCATGAGCTCACAGCACTGCTGTTCAGCTTGTGACCACAGCATCGCCTAATAATGTCGAAATATATATATAACTTGTATTATTTAGCCATGATAGTATTACAGAAGAGCCTGAGTGTGATAATGACTGTGTACAACGTTCAAATATCAGTGATTCAATGCTGTTCACAATCTTCACAGCGCTAGCCACAGCACCACAGCATTATTTCGTCCGTCTAGGAATCTTCAAACGACTTCCTAGGTTCCTTTACAAGATAAATTTGTGATCAATTATGCATTTACAGGATTTAATGACCAGTATTGTGATAACAGCAGGATTGTGGTGATAATAAGCACTGTGCGTAGTATTGTGGGAGGAGGAGTTGTGGCGAGGGAGGTAGGGGAGAGAATCGAGGTAGCCTCACTGTGTGTGTGTGTGGCAGCCACTCTTATTTTGCTCATCATACTTGCTTAGTGGTTCGCTATGGTAAACACATTTGTACGTGGGTATATACAATGTGTGTGTATAGTGTAATAACAGGAGTATGTTGAGAGGAGCTATTTTGGTGAGGGAGGTGATGTAATCATAGCGTCGTCTGCTGGCTGCTGTGTGATTTCTCATGCAGTGTATGGTGGCCACTGTAAAGTTTGGATACAATACTGGCTTACTTGCATAGTTCTGGTGAATAAAACATGTAGATAAGTATGCATAACATGTGTAAGTAGTGTAATAAAAACAACAGGTATGGTGGGAGGAGAAATGATGGCGAGTAAGATGTTGGAGGAGGTAGACACTGGATGTTGGAGGAGTGAGGTAGACACTGGATGTTGGAGGAGTGAGGTAGACACTGGATGTTGGAGGAGTGTGGTAGACACTGGATGTTGGAGGAGTGTGGTAGACACTGGATGTTGGAGGAGTGAGGTAGACACTGGATGTTGGAGGAGTGAGGTAGACACTGGATGTTGGAGGAGTGAGGTAGACACTGGATGTTGGAGGAGTGAGGTAGACACTGGATGTTGGAGGAGTGAGGGAGACACTGGATGTTGGAGGAGTGAGGTAGACACTGGATGTTGGAGGAGTGAGGTAGACACTGGATGTTGGAGGAGTGAGGTAGACACTGGATGTTGGAGGAGTGAGGGAGACACTGGATGTTGGAGGAGTGAGGGAGACACTGGATGTTGGAGGAGTGAGGGAGACACTGGATGTTGGAGGAGTGAGGGGGAGACTGGATGTTGGAGGAGTGAGGGGGACACTGGATGTTGGAGGAGTGAGGGGGACACTGGATGATGGAGGAGTGAGGGAGACACTGGATGTTGGAGGAGTGAGGGAGACACTGGATGTTGGAGGAGTGAGGGAGACACTGGATGTTGGAGGAGTGAGGGAGACACTGGATGTTGGAGGAGTGAGGGAGACACTGGATGTTGGAGGAGTGAGGGAGACACTGGATGTTGGAGGAGTGAGGGAGACACTGGATGTTGGAGGAGTGAGGGAGACACTGGATGTTGGAGGAGTGAGGGAGACACTGGATGTTGGAGGAGTGAGGGAGACACTGGATGTTGGAGGAGTGAGGGAGACACTGGATGTTGGAGGAGTGAGGGAGACACTGGATGTTGGAGGAGTGAGGGAGACACTGGATGTTGGAGGAGTGAGGGAGACACTGGATGTTGGAGGAGTGAGGGAGACACTGGATGTTGGAGGAGTGAGGGAGACACTGGATGTTGGAGGAGTGAGGGAGACACTGGATGTTGGAGGAGTGAGGGAGACACTGGATGTTGGAGGAGTGAGGGAGACACTGGATGTTGGAGGAGTGAGGGAGACACTGGATGTTGGAGGAGTGAGGGAGACACTGGATGTTGGAGGAGTGAGGGAGACACTGGATGTTGGAGGAGTGAGGGAGACACTGGATGTTGGAGGAGTGAGGGAGACACTGGATGTTGGAGGAGTGAGGGGGACACTGGATGTTGGAGGAGTGAGGGGGACACTGGATGTTGGAGGAGTGAGGGAGACACTGGATGTTGGAGGAGTGAGGGAGACACTGGATGTTGGAGGAGTGAGGGAGACACTGGATGTTGGAGGAGTGAGGGAGACACTGGATGTTGGAGGAGTGAGGGAGACACTGGATGTTGGAGGAGTGAGGGAGACACTGGATGTTGGAGGAGTGAGGGAGACACTGGATGTTGGAGGAGTGAGGGAGACACTGGATGTTGGAGGAGTGAGGGAGACACTGGATGTTGGAGGAGTGAGGGAGACACTGGATGTTGGAGGAGTGAGGGAGACACTGGATGTTGGAGGAGTGAGGGAGACACTGGATGTTGGAGGAGTGAGGGAGACACTGGATGTTGGAGGAGTGAGGGAGACACTGGATGTTGGAGGAGTGAGGGTGTGGCAGCTGATACTCGCGGAGATCTGAGTGTGTTGAAGGTGAATGTACATAGTGTGATAGTGAATAGTGTGTAAATAGATTGTATATATACATAAATTAGCATGATGCCTGGGAAATATGTGTATCATGTGTGTCATGTACGTAACAGTGTCTTCGGACAGTACGGATGTTCTACTGCTATAATATACTGTGTGTGTTCATTATACATAGGATTGGCACGAAAAAAAACACAAATAAAATGTATTTGGAACCGTGTGCAAAAAATGAACAAAAATATATTCGCGGCAACTCTTGCATCCTGCCCTGGGCGCCCTACCGGCCTAGGGGGGCATACACCACAAGCGACCAGGGAATGACGTCACGCGCGAACTTGCAAACCCCATAGCACCCAAAGTACGTACAATTTCGTCCTTCTGTTACTGTACCCATACTCAGGGAAGGGTTTTTGACACTTTCAAACCAAAAAAACAAAAATTTCCAGATAATTTATTTCCTGCGCATTGGGGGTGTCATATTTGGAAGCCAAGCAGTTGAGGGGTTAAGGATGTGTGCTCAGTAAATCCTCCCCGGCCAGGATACGAGCCTAGGCCAAAGCGCTCACAAAACGCCAGTGAATGTCTTGCCAGTACACCGCGGGAATTCAACTCTGGTCGAGATGTGCAATGCAGGGGTAAAACTGTGCAGGCCATATTGATACATTGTCTGTCGTGTGCAAAATATATTGTTCTGAAATTTTTGTCTTCTTTCTATGTATCCAGGAAGCCCGACAGAGTCTGTGTGCTTAATTTGTCTAAAAAGTTTAATTAGTAAACCTAATTAGGTTTAGCAATAGTGGCATTGAGAAGTTGTTCTCTAGTAATGAAGTGAGGTGCCACACAGGAATAACTGTTCATTTATTTTCATTCTCACTTTAATTTTTTTTTTGTATGTGATATGTATTTGTGTCAATAGTGGCATCCATTATATATAAATTTGGAGATACAGTATACAGTATGTATGTATAGATGTATGTGTGTATTTTTAGTTTTATGCCACTCGTCAAAAAATTGGTTTTGTTGATCCAGGAATGTTTGTTTGTTTATTATTTATTTATTTATTTATTGTTTATTGGAATGCTTTGTTTGCTCTTGCTACAGGAAGTGAAATTTTTGAAATGGCTTACTTAGTATTCTAATACGTATAGTAATTGTTTAGCCATTGTTACTAAGAAACATTAAATGTATAAGAAATCCAACTGTCTTTCATATCCAGTTACAGCTCAACCTGAGCACCTTATTCAGATACTAATGTTTTCTTCTATTTATATATGTAGTCTAAATTCTGCCTGTGTTTAATTTCAAAATATTTGTGTTGCTCTGTGGGTTTTTTTCTCTTGAGGATGAATAACAATTTTATGGCAAGTGGTAAAATATTAAGATCTCTCCACTTCTTGTATACTTAAATGAATAATCTGTGAACACGACTGAATTCCTTGTGCCCTTTTATTTCAGGCTGGGGAAGAGCTGCTAGCACAGGGAGAGATCGAGTCTGGAGTTGAGCACTTGAGTCGTGCTGTGGCGGTATGCGGACAGCCTCAACAACTGTTGCAGGTTCTCCAACAGACCCTACCACCACAGGTCTTCCAACTTCTCCTCCACAAGCTCCCGGCAGTTGGCGAGGTTAATACTAAACTTTCTTAGACTCTCAACTGTTTACTTCTTGGTTAACAAACTTGTCTAATAGCCTTTCCTCGTTTAAAATTAATTGAATTGTAACAAATGTCTGATCTATCTAATGTTTGATAAATTAGCCTGGACCCTTTGGTATTGAATATGACAGGAAAGGTGGGGTCAATGATTTAGAGCACAAATCTTGTCAATGTTCCTGTGTTTTGCTTCACTTGAAAAGGAAATTGAAAAATAACGCCATTTCATTTTAGTTTTATCATGGCCCAATGTTAAGAGATGCATTTTGTTGACCCTGTCAGTGTTTTCATAGGCAGAGTGCATGTTGATACAATATGGTTATTGTTGTTTTAGATTCAGCTACTCTGAGCAAAAAGGTCTAAGTAGCATGGGCTATGGTGAGCCCGTAATACAATATGGTTAGAGCAGTCGAATACATACCTAAGTGAGGTGAAGCCCCTCACTATGGGACCAAATAGGCCCACTGCAGCTTACCAATCTACTGTTTTAGTGATGGTATGTGGGTTTTGTCTTGAAGTCATTCTTTTAGCCTGGAAAAGGCATGTGATACCACCTGAAGGTTTAACATGCTTTGTCCAAGTGCATTCCTTTGAGCTTCGTGACACACTCCCTGTTTTCCTTCAAAGCTTCCTCTCTTGTCGTTCATTAAAGTTAGGTTTAGTACAGTATTGCCTTCTTTGACTTTTCAACAATATGAAGGTGTTTTCTATGGCAGTTATGAGCATTACTATTTTTTTTTGGTGTGTGTATTCACTGGCTCTTATCAAAAGTAATCTCTAGCCAATTTAAGACAATCCTATTTTGTTAGCTACTCAGCCATTTTGGAGTTTCCTCGAATAAACCTGTGGACACCGCCAAAAAAAGAAGCGATTGGATAAAAGCCCTAACGTGTATGTGAAATTTATGTAAAGAATTTAGTCTTTCACACTTAGTGCTTTGTCAAGGTCTGAGTATGTGGTTAGGACAAGACTTGCATCTCAACGTCTAATGAGGCTACTATCCTGGGTCCAATCCTCTTATTTTTCCTGACCTCCTGCCACATCACCTCCATTTGCGACTGTCGATGTACCTGTGGTAATGTCTTCTATGGAATTATGGTCAGGTGTCCTTTCTGTAATCCTGCTATTCTGAAAACTGAAGTTGTTATTAATTGAGGAGTTCATCTGGATGCTGTCCTTCGTAATGCTCTCCATGTCCCAAGGAACACGGCTAATGGGACTGCTTTCATTAATCCATTTATTGAGATCTAATTTTAATTTGCTCAATCATTTTCCTAGTAAAGCTATCCTCCAAATGTAAAGCTTTTGTTGCCATATTCAAGAGTGCAGTATTTATTAGAATTCCCTACCACTATCCACTAGTCAGCCAGTTACCCATTCATCTATCCAGCCAGCCAGCACACTTGCCCCACCCACCCACCTACCAGCCAGTTAACCAACCAATCCACCATCCATCCTGTTGCTCTCCCAAATATGATTAAACAGTTAACGACATTTTAAAACCTCCAGATTTAACGACATGGGTACAGCCCATATAGGTCGTTAAATTGAGTGGATACTCAATTTATTGAGTATCATTTAAGATGATGCATTCAGTATATACGGAATGCAAATTGCTTCCCATGTGGGGAGGGGGGAGGACTAAACAAAAATGACTTCCCACCATAGTACTGCTGTTGTATCCAACCTTCAGTTACTGCTTTAGTTCTGTTTGCCTGCTATACATTTTTTAAGCATGTATCACTGCCCTTATTCCTATAAAGTATTAGGTAGAAAACCACCACTTTTTTTCATTGCTTTCCCTTGTTTTCAGTCCATTGTTAATTTTGTACACGTCACTAAGGACATAACTTCACTTGCTGCATGTTTCTTACATTGTGTCATACACCTCATAGAATGTCCCGAGTTTCAGGATGTTTGGAGATCTTGTTTTCCCAATGTCCATTTTAGCGACTTGTTCCTTACTAATATCATTGGCGAGTCTAACATGTTTGATATGGCTTATCTTGCATCCTTTTGCTCCCAAATTAGTATTGTGAATGACACATTGGACTTGTGCATCACTGGCAGTGCTGAATAGCCTTCCAGGCTTTGTGCCGCTGCTTGATGATTACTTATTTGTTCCTTTACCCTCTAGTTAATTAGTTATACAAGTTTTTGCAATAATGTAGAATTTTTAATCTCAACTTTCCTGTATTTTCTACAAGAAAGTCAAGTAATTCAAGCAGATGGTTTGATCTTGCATTTATTTTTTCCTTTTCCAGAGCATACTCCAGGCAGCTGGTGGATCAAAAGTAACTGAAGAGGATGTAGAGTGAGTTGTACCAACTAGCCTTGAATTGTAAATTAAATTGAACTCTTATGTGATGTGTGGATTTAATCTGAAAATAGAACATTTTTATACAAGTCTCTCTCTGCTTTTGACCTTATATTTTAAGCTCCCTGTTGCTAACTCAAAATAAGTTCCCATGTCATACATGGTCTTTTCTGTTTGTTGCTACAAAATAGAAGAACCAGATATGCCTTGGTACAGTTGAACTTGGGTGCTCTGTTACTGTATTTGTGTACAGTTTTAAATGCAGCGTGTTGTTTTCATAGATTTTCTTAAATTATAGGTATACTTCACAGTATAGTTTGTCAATATATAATTTGTAATATATGCAGAAGAGTAGTTTAACGGCTGTGTATATATTTGTTAAGGTTCAGAAATGTTTGGGTTTCAGATTTCTCTTTGCTAAAACAAGTCCTACTTGATGTACATTTAAGCTGCTCATTCTAACAGTATTTGATAATTTGATGTGTCATGCAGCCTTTCGCATATTATATGGGTCATCTGCAGTGGAGTTTATTACTTTGTGGAATGTTAAACGTACATCTTTACCTTGTTGTTTTACTTCAACTATCCACATCTCACCACCAACTACATTGTGTCTGTAATATGTACTGAATTTTTCCGAATTAGCATATTGATTAAATTGAAGAATGTCGGGATGACAGAGGAAGTTTGTTATAAGGTACAGTGAAAAATGTCTACTTTGTGTAAACGAAATATTGCCACAATTGACCTTTTGATGTGTGTTTGTGTGCCCGTAATCCGAGAAAATTGTACTATGGAGAAGACTTTTCTAGATGCTGCTGTCTGTAATTATTGAAAATGTTTTGTTTTTTAGTCTAACTATCTGGTAATAATTTAAGTATTTCATACAAATTAAATGATGCATAAAATATCATTTAGTTAGCTAATGGGGCATTAGTTTGTCATGTTTTATAAACTGATTATAAAAGTGATTTATTTCATCAGCACAAACCTGCTAATTTGTATCATGTAATTTTTTCCTCTAACATTGCTTTTGTCTTGATACTGAAGATGTTTTATTAGAAAGGTGTGCGTGTGCTGCCAGATGTTCAGTAAAGTGTCTGTATTTCCCTGGCATTGAAACAAGTGTTTGACCAAATATTTCAGTGGATTGGAATTACAATATATTGTTAATATATAAGATTACAAGTTTATGAATGTTGCCAGTGGCATTCAGTGGGATCCCTGTACATAAAGTACTAATTTAAGGTAAATAAAGTTTTTTTTTTTTTTATCTTGTTTTAATCATAGAATAATTTTGCCTTCATATTTCATAGTGAAATTATTTGATTAAATTCAATGCACAACATAGTCTCAAGTAGGCAATGTTTTCAGCCATTGTCCTAATGCTTTATATAAACTATAGATTTTATTTAAAATTGAAAAGGAACATTTCTGATCTTGAAAGTCAGGACTTTCAACTGGATGAGGAGCAACTTAAGAGGCATAGTACAATTATGATATTTGCACATATCTCGGTCACCTGTCCCTCGATAGAATTCTTGGTGACTCGGATACTTTTGATATCGTTCGCCTTATGCGTTTTTGTTCTCGTATTGGCATCCTTGGTGATATTTAGCGCCCTCTGATTATTTTGCGTATTTGATGGTGCTACATAGCCTTCCCGGTTTGGTGCCTTCTTTTGATAATTACTTACTTACTTGCACATATCTACCATTTTATCCATAGGTAATTTTGCTTTTCCAATATATAGTATACCCCTCTGGTGTTGCCTTGATGTGGTGAGGGGCTCGTGTACACCTCCCTGGGACTAGTGAGGGTTGTCTTTGCCCCCCCTCTTTGGGTGGTGTTCATGCAGAAGGGCGCCACATAGGGGCCTTGTGAGCCATCGGATCGCCCACTGGAGGGGCTGCCCTGAGTGGATGGCTGGGGTGTCCAGGCTAGGGGAATGGGAGCTTTTCTACTTCGGACTCTACTAGTCTGTTCTCCCGCTCCCTTCCCTCTATCCTTACTCAATTTACCCATGCCCCCTAACCCTGACTTACCTGACCCTGAGCTATAACGTGCTGTGTTCCTTTTTAACCTTTGTTACTTCATTGTTCTCTGTTGCTATCCTTTCTCTTATTGTCGATGTTCTTCAATGGAACATTCATGGATATTACGCCAATTTCCATGAACTCTAACTTCTGATTTCATAGTTTTCGCCTCTGTGTCTGTCTCCAGTAGCCGATGCTTGGTGCTCGTCCTGGTCACTTCCGTGGCTATTCCTTTCTCTCACCCCCCCCCCCCCCCCCCAACTCTTCTGCTCTCTTGATTCGTTCTGATGATCCCTTCGCCCCCCTTACTTCATCGCCACTCCAATGTTATGCTGCCCGTGTCTTTGTAAATGGTACACGGTTTGTTCCATTTATCTCCCCCCAAATGTCCCGCTTTCTCTTCCTGATTTTAAACATCTATTGGACTCTGCCAGAGCCTGTGCTCCTGTTGAGTGATTTCAATTGTCGACATATCCTCTGGCAATCCGTCCTCGACTCAAGTCAATTACATTCAGCGGGACAGGCTGGCCTCTGGGGTGATCGCTCGCAAGAGAGATCGAACCACACAGCCCGTTCTCCAAACTCGAAAGTGATTCTATGTACCCAGCCCGTCCTCCAAACAAAGATCCAAAAGTGATTCCATGCACCCGCCAAACCCCCTGTTTATGAATGAAAAGCGGTTTACACACGACTCACAACTGCTGACGTTCGAACATATCCGGAACAAGTGTTTCACTGACGAATTTTGTTCGAATCACAACGCTATAAATGCTTCACCCACGTACTACAAATACAAATAATCGCCAACAGAACCTAAACACCTAACCTATGCCTATATATACACAATATGCTAATATATTATAATATTAATTTATACTTGAGAAAATTCCCGTTTTGAATGAACAGCATATTAAAATTTATGAATGCGTCTGTGGGGTCGACCGCTGGATGTAATGGACTTGAGTCGAGGACGGGTTGATGTACCCGCCAAACCCAATGTTTATGAATGAAAAACGGTTTACACACGACTCGCAACTGATTTCGTTCGAACACTTCCGAAACAAGTGCTTCACTGACGAATTTTGTTCGAATCACAACGCTGTAAATGCTTCACCCACGTACTACAAATACAAATAATCGCCAACAGAACCTAAACACCTAACCTATCCTATGCCTATATATACACAATATGCTAATATATTATAATATTAATTTATATTTTAGAAAATCCCCGTTTAGAATGAACAGCATGTAAAAATTTATGAATACGTCTGTGGGGTCGACCGCTGAATGTAATGGACTTGAGTCGAGGACGGATTGAAATAATGTACTGAACGAGATGAGAACAGCTTGTGCTACCTCATCCCTCTGTGTGTATTTATACCTCAATAAACTTATTTCAATTTATATACAAATAATCGCCAACAGAACCTAACCAATACCTAAATATACACAATATGGTAATACATAATAATAATTATTCATATTTTAGAAAATTCCTGTTTTGAATGAACAGCATGTTAAAATTTATGAATGCGCCTTTGGAGTCGACTGCTGGATGAAACGGTTTGAGGACCGTTTGTACCTGGACCCTTTTAGTTTAGTTTATTTATTATGCACCCCATACCCATTCTGTGGGCGGTATAGTGGACTCCATATCGATTACGTGGGCTGTTTCCACCCCAAACCCATTCTGTATGGGGGTGGAAAGGGTTACAGAGGCACGCCATGGGCTCACAGAGACTGAACCCCAAAATACACTTAGCTTATTTTTTAGAATTTCTTGTTTTGGTAAAATTAAACTAAAGTTGGAGAAGGTACATTATGAGGCCATGAGAGTAATCTTGGGATGCCCAAGAATTATGAGGCCATGAGAGTAATCTTGGGATGCCCAAGAAATGCTATGATTGAGGTAATGAGGATGTGAGTGAACATATTGGGGATAGAATTTCTGAGATAAATGAAGCTCCGGCGATTAGATTAATGAGAGGCGAGGGAGTTTATGAATTAATCCTCTCACTTGAGAAGTTGGGAAGTAATGAACAATGCATGTTAAGGTAAAATAAGAGAGCGTATATGAGATCCATATCTAATAATGTTACAAAGTATTGCATTGTCAAAAAAATTAACACCAACATGGGAGGAATGTAACGTATATGTAATAATTATTCCCTCAATTTTCTCTTACATGACTCAGACTCTTAAATTTGCCACTGTCTTGAGAATTCAATTAGAAGCAATAGCGCCTTGGACACACTCCCAACAATTGAACACCTTCCTTGTCGCTTCCAGCTTGCCCTTGCCTTCCTGAAAGCTAACAACTCTATTGTTATCCTTCCTTCCGACAAAGGCAATTCGGTGGCTGTCCTTGACCGTGTGGACTATCTCCAGAAACCTGATGACTTGCTCTCTGATTCCTGCACATATGCTCCTTCTAACCCTTTGGATCGCCTTAAAACTTCCGTCAACCGCAAACTGAGAAAGCTCTCTAGTCTTTGTCCTCTTTACTTCGCCATCTAATAAAACATTTTCGTGTCATTCCTTATTCATCCTTATTTCTATGGTCTACCTAAGCCTCGTAAACCTGGTGTTTCTCTTATTTATTTATTTATTTATTTATTTATATACAAGAAGGTACATTGGGGTAACAAAGAACATAAAAATTAAGTTGAATTTACATTCTTGTAAAGTTGATGATGATGATGAAGATTAAGCCACCCAAAAGGTGGCACGGGCATGAATAGCCCGTAAGTGGTGGCCCTTTTGAGCCATTACCAGTATCAAGAGATGATACTGGAGATCTGTGGAGGTGCGAATGCACCCTGCATGGCGGGAGATGTCTCCCGGACCAAGTGGTGACCAGATGGTGGTGTGTAAAGTTGGTTGGTTGTAAAGTTTGGAGCAAGTATATTATATAGTGGCTACAAGTGTTCTCGTCTCCCTCCTCACTATGCATCAGTGACCTTCAGTTTCTTGATTTTGAAATTTCCTTTATTTACAAATCTTTCACTGGCCTTGGTTTATTGGGTTCAGTCTCTGAGCCCATTATGTGCCTCTGTAATCCTTTGCACTACCCCCCCACAAGATGGGTATGATGTGCATAATAAAGAAATAGATTGAATCTGTGCATATTCTTAAACTAAACGAAATTTCTTTCATCCCAAACCTGTTACCAACACTAGTACCATTGTGCTTTGCCGTCCCTTCATGTCTGAACTAAAAAATCTCACTAATACCCTTCGTTCTCTTGACATAAAGCTCACCTTTCGACAAACTAACACACTTCGTAGTACTCTGGTTCACACTGCTCCTCCTTCTAATGCTGCTGGTGTCTACTCTGTTTCCTGTTCGTCTTGTCCTCTCCAGTACTTTGGGGAAACTGGCCGTACACTAAATGACAGACTCAAGGAACACAAAAGAAGTGTTAAGTCTGTAGACACAAACAATGCTCTCTTCTGTCATGTTAGGGATTCTAATCATTCTATTGATTGGTTGTTGTTCTCTAAAATAATCTTTCCTGCCTCTACTCTTCACAGACGCCGTCTTGTCGAGTCGGCTCTGATACACAGTCTACCCAACATGAACCTTAGTCCGGGCTTTGTTGCTGTTGACCCTTTCACAATATATACTTAAATGCTCTAACCTTATTAACAAACGTGACATGACTCAAGCCAAGCCTCTTTTAATTTTCTTACCCTCCTCTTGTTCTTACCTTATCCCATTCTTCCTTCATCTCATTCGTAATGTTCATCCTATTCTTACCTTTCATCTTGCTCTTACCTTCCTCTAGAAATTACCTTCTTCTCTTACCTGCTCCTCACCTCACTTTTTCCTTATTTATTGCCCGTTCCTTCCTCTTTCTCAGGCACACACTTGGTCCGGGAGACATCTCCCGTCTCGCAGGGTGCAGTTGCACCTCCACAGATCTCCAGTATCAGCTCTTGATACTGGTAATGGCTCAAAAGGGCCACCACTTACGGGCTATTCATGCCCGTGCCACCTTTTCGATGGTTTAATCGTCATCTTGGACACATTCATGGGAGACATCTCCCGTCACGCAGAGTGCACTTGCACCTCCACAGATCTCCAGTATCAGCTCTTGATACTGGTGATGGCTCGAAAGGGCCACCACTTACGAGCTATTCATGCCCGTGCCATCTTTTGGGTGGCTTCATCTTCATCTTCTTCATCTGTTTAAAACACGGGAGACATCTCCCGTCACGCTGGGTGCAGAC